TTCTTGTGTTCACTAAAGTCTCACCTTTTAGTACGAATATCTGGCGTAATTCACTAATATCTCGTGTGCTTTACTAAATGCTCGTGGTATTCAAATATATACAAAATTTGCCAATATTTCGTGTATTCACTAAAATCCTGTATTATTCATCCTAAAATCCTGTATTGTATTCACTAAAATCCTGTATTATTCTCGTGTATTTCCATAGTATCTCGCGTATTCACTAATATCTCGTGTGCTTTACTAAATGCTCGTGGTATTCTTATATATTCAAAATATGCTGATATCTCATGGAATCACTAAAATCTCACCATTTTATACTAATATCTGCCGTATTTCACTAATATCTTGTGTATTCATTAAAGTGTCACCGTTTACTAATAATATCTTGTGTATTTCAGTAATATCTCGCGTATGCACTAATATCTCGTGTGTTTTACTAAAATCTCGTGGTATTCAAATATATACAAAATTTGCTTATATTTTGTGTATCCACTAAAATCTCGTTGTATTCAAATATATAGAAAAATATGCTGATGTCTGGTGGATTCACTAAAATGTCACCATTTTATACTAATATGTGGCGTATTTCACTAATATCTTGTATATTCATGAAAATCTCACCTTTTAGTGCTAATATCTCGTGTATTGTGGTAATGTGTGAGGCATTCTACTGACTTCTCGGCTGTTTCGTTAAAATCTCGTGTGTTTCACTAATTTCTCATGTAGTTTGTTGATATCTGTTTTCGCGAGATATCAGGCATTACTATTTTTAAGACAGCGGCATTCATAATAGTTTTTATTTAATTAAAATATTCGGCGTTTCGATTACTCATGCAACCATTTTCAAGGATGTACAAACATAAATGCTGTACAAGAAAAGTTTATGAAACGGAGGAAAGGAGAATCACTGAAGCGATTCGATTCCCAGACGCTTAGTCAAAGATAACTTAAATAAAATTTGATCCAGGAGGTGATGAAAAGGACGATTAGCAGATATATGAATTAACAATTCAGTCAAGAAAGTACTTGCCGTGTAGTAGAAAGTGAAAGACTAACGAAGAACTTTGTTTTCCTTCCTGTTCAAAACAGTATATATACATTTTTCTCCTTTCGTTTTATAATTTTCTTGTACAGTATTTATGTTTGTACATTCTCGAAAATGGTTGCATGGTAACTGACACGTCGAATATTTTAATTAAATAATAATTAAATATAAATTATTATGAATGGTATATTTTTTCAAGATTACTGACTCTAAACAAATGTAATATTGAAACAGACGCTTCTATTCTCCTCTACACGCTTGAGGCAAATAGCTGTCTCGAAATCTCTACTTCAGAGGACATTCAAATTTTCCCATAAAACTCGAAATTTTCCTGCCTGCTTGAGTTAATTAAAAATCGACATGTTATTGATTTACTGTTTACTGAAGCGCGACTGAAATTACCCTTTTATCAGTCAGCTTTTAATGAATAATGAGAAATAGAAATGGTGTATATTTTCTTCTTTTACAGTGTAATTGTCTAAATGTTGAGACATTGTGCACAATTTACGTTCACTGTGAGCTCAGGTTTAACAGGTATATTTTTATTTCGCATCCAAGCAAGGCTGACATTACTGAGGGGTTGGAAAGAGCGACACTCACCCAAAACTAAAAGTAAATAAGTTTTTCCTAGTGCGTTCTTTGAAAAAAAATTCTGGTCTCAAGGGAAACTCGACCTATTACAGTGGAGTAGTCTTCAATCGATGATCTCAAAACTTTTTCATACTAGATGGATCTTTTAGACCAAACATTTTGATGAATTTTGGCAAAAGGCGCAAGTCAGAAAGTTGTGCCGCTGCTGAGATATTGAAATTTTACAGAAAGTGCAGAGAGACGGATTCCGCTCCGCCATGCTGAAAATTTGGCAACTTTAAACTTTTGTAACTCACGAGGAACTACCCCAACTGATCCAGCGCGTTTGACTCCCGCTTCTGGCCAGAAGTAGACCTTGATGAGACTAAGAAAACATTAAAACCGTTCGTGCCCATGGCCCTACGTTTCTGAGATATAATCGACTTTTGTCCAAAAAAGCGATTTCTTCACTTTTCTTTGTTTATGTCTTTTCTCTGTTATCCTAATGACTTAAACGGTGAAATCTTTTTCTCAAAAACCCGTAATCATGGTCTATAATCTCCCCAAGTTTCAAATCTTTAGTTACTATGGATCATAAGATATCGGTGTTTCAATTAGTGGACAACTAAGTCTTCAATACCTTTTATGTACAAATGAATGACGCAACGTTCAGACCACACATTGAGCGGAAAGAAAACCTGTTTCCCATCTGCGTTTCCGCTTCCCGTTTTCGTCAATTGCATCGAAATTTTGAAATAGTTTTGAAAGTGCTTGACGAGCTCTTGAACTTGAACATCTCCCGTAGGACGATAGATTTCGTTTTTTTGAAATTTGCTCAGCCGGTGTGGCTGCAATATCAGCTTCTCCGATTATTTTTCGAAATGAGATGGGCGAACAGAAAACGGTTACATAAACCTTTCCTCTCTGCCATCTTCGCACAGACGCATGGTCGAACAGAACAAAATAACTCTCCCTCTCTTTCTAGTGGAAATACACCTGTACATGCCTTACATAATTGAAAATTCGACATCTTGAATTCCAAACTAGCTATTCATTTGAAACTTTTGGAGCAAGTGGAGGACCAGTGGAGCCAACTGTATATAAAAATATCGCCGTTTAAGTCATTAGGATAACATGTCCGTTTCTATTTTTCTCGTCTTTCGTTAGGATCCTAAGGTTAGTTATTTTTGTTGAAAGATGCGTCGTGAAATACTCCACAAAACCGTACTCAAACTTTAACTTCGGAACTTCAACCAAGAAAACTACACAAATCATACGAAAGACGAAAAAATGAAAACTTTCTAAATTTGGTATTTTTTTCGACTTGAAGGTTTTTTTCTGCTATTATTTCCGTAAAAGAGTGTAACAAAAGTGAGAGTGCAGTTTCAATTGTACTTTTGAATATGCTCTTTCTCGTGGTCTGTAAAAAAGTTTTAAGAGCAGATGGTGTGCTGGAGAATGGGGTTACAAAAATACGTGAAAAATTGACAGCCCCGCGTTTCCAACAAATGTGCCCAAGCAAGAACAGAAAACACCACTGAAGTTTTGATTTTGCAGTTACGTCGAGAAGAGCAATTATTTCCAATCAAAATAAAACAAATCCGATCGAAAAATCTTTTGTTTTGATGGAGTTATAGAGCTTTTACTAAAAGCATTACTATATGCAGAATTTAAAAAGTTAATGAAAAATTGTGTAAAAACAGATCGAAAAATCATTACTTCTCCATGAGTTTTGATTTGAAAAACTTTGAAGTGTGGCTAAAAGATAGAGCAAAGTCAGGGCTACATAATGGCTGATTCAGGTTTTCTTAGTTTCAAAACGTTAACACAACAAATCGTTTTTGAGTTTAGAAAGTTTTCATTTTTTTCGTCTTTCGTAAAATTTGCGTAGTTTTCTTGACTGAAGTTCCGAAATTAAAGTCTAAGTATGGTTTTGTAGAGTCTGGATTTGTCTAGAGTATTTCGTGGCGCATCTTTTAAAAAAATAACTAACCTTAGGATCCTAAAGAACCAGGAGAAAAATAGAAAATACGAAGAGGGACATTTATTCTGCCGCACTTGTTATTAGATAGTGTCTACTACAGAAAAAATACGAAATAAGTTGATTTCGTACTCTCAGCCAATAAGCTTATTTCGTATTCTGGCAATTTCGCGAATGCTTTCAAATTGCATTTCCATTTGTTCTACTAGTTTAAAGTACACGAGTTGTACACGATACTGATGTATTTTTTAGAAAAGGATTCCCTTTAGTTTGTGAGGTATATCGCTGTAAATATCGTATAAAAAAGCAAGATTTTTGCACTGATAGGACAAACGGGAATATTGTTTGAAATAACGTTCAGCAGAAATATAACTATTTATAAGGCTACCTTCCCAAGTGCCGGACAAAATTTCAGATCGAAAGTCGTTCATTCGATTTTTCTGAAACACTTTGCAGGTTAGCAGAATACGAAATAAGTTTAGAGTGAGCACTCTCTTCCTCGAATATATAAAAGGTGAATACTTGATGAATAAACTATATTTCGAAGAATATTCCCGTTTGTCCTATCAGTGCAAAAATCTTGCTTTTTTATACGATATTTACAGCGATATNACTAACTGATAGTTACCGTTATTTCAACGGCAACTGGAAAGTCAGTTACCGTTGTTTTAACGATAACTGACTTTTCAGTTACCGTTGTCGATAACGGTCGAAGAAGTAACGGTAACTTTTACAGTCCTAGTTAAAAGGCTGCTTTTATCCATAGTCAGTATCTTCTTGAAACAAACTAAAAAATACATCAGTATCGTGTACAACTCGTGTACTTTAAACTAGTAGAACAAATGGAAATGCAACTTGTCTAATTAATGCAATTTGAACTCGCGAAGTTGCCAGAATACGAAATAAGTTTAGAGTGAGTACTCTCTTCCTTGAATCTGTAAAAAGATGAACATTTTATGAAAATATAAAATTTGTTCTTTTCTTATTTTATTCTTTACAGAAAAATAGAATAATTTCTTATAGGAGTCTGCTTGAGAACAAGAATATGGAACTACCGTAGAACAGAAAGAACATGCATGTATATATTCTTTTCTGGGGGTGTTCTCGTTTCGTCGACAAAGCGGCCACTTCAAAGAATATAGATCAGAGAACATCAGAGGCGGTGTGAGAGTGAGTTGTCGACGAAACAAGAATACTTCTCTTTTCTGTACTATACTTGACTTAATTGCTTTTATAATCAATCGGTATTATTTGATGTTACAAAATTGCTTTAATCAATATCTTTTATTAAACGAGGGGTATAGAAAAAAGTGACGTTAAATACAAACATTTTATTTAGAGAGAAGAGAAATTTTCAGGAAAAGCTTAAATTTTGGTTCTTTTAGCTTGATAATTAGTAAACTATCTTGTTTTTTCTCGAAAAGCAACTGATAAGCCAAATGAATCCCGATACATTGAATAAAATACACCGTATAAATGGCTTAACTGATCATCAATAGCTCTCATTCTCTCGGATGGAAAGGCTAATGATTGCTTTACTTTTCCATCTAGCGAACATTTCTGTATTTCGTCATGAGTAAATAGATTTGTGACCAGTTCATAAAGTAAATATTGTGGATGTGTAGCTTCTTTCTTTTCAGCAGCGGTGGCGGATCGTCTTTTGACTCGCATAAAAATTGATAACGGCAAACTGAAAACCTGATTAGTAACAGGATCGGTTAAAAACATTAACTATTGAATTAAAAAAAGAAAAGTGTTACTTGCTAAAGGTCAATGTCACAGTTTGCAACTTACTTTAGCCTGTAGTATGTTACTAGCTACAGCTGAGCTTTTGCTTTCAGTTACGCTAGATAAATTATGTGGTTCTGGAGACGTAGGTAGCTGTTCAGCAACAACATATATAAAATAAGACACGGGTTCTATTTAACATACCCACTCACTCACACAGGCACCTTTTGTACCGGAAAAATCGAGTGATTCTTGGACAGTTGGGATTTTCGATAATGTCTCATCAGTATCATTAGTAGTCACTGACTGCCCTAGTGAAGCTTTTTTTCTCAAGCACATGACTTTCTTGAATTTCTTGAGTAAGAATCTCATGGCGTGGAGACATTTCTTACTCATGCAAAACGCATTTTTTCCGATGTCATGCGCTTGACTTT